ATTTTAAACATTTCACTCCAAACTCTTCTTGTCTTGATGGTTTGTGTTAAGAAGTCTGCCATGATTCTGATTGGTTTTCCTTTATAGATGATCTACTTCTTTTCTCTAACAGCTTTAAATATTCTGTTCTTGTGCTGAATCTTGGATCTTGATTGATTATATGTCTGGGTACAGATTTACTTTGATTATGGCTAATTGGAGTTCTATATGCCTCATTTGTTTGTATGACAGATGCTTTCCCCATGTTTGGGAAGTTTTCTACTATTGCTTCTGTAAATAGCATCTTAATTTCATTTGTGTTCACCCCTGCTTCTTCACTGATACCTATCACTCTTAGATTATGCTCATCTTTCAGCTATTGAATTATTTCCTGATTTCTTGTTATTTTTAAGAGATCTTTCCTTTATGATCACTAGTTGAAATCCTGTTTTCAAGATTTGAAAATCTATCTTCAGTCTCTTTCAAGCAGTTTTGCTAGAATTTGATTGAATTTTTAATTACCTGGATATCTCTTTGAATCTGTTTCATGCATTGTAATTCCTTTCTATATTGTTCGTTCAAGGTTTCCATCATTTTCCTATGTTCTTCTTCTTTGTCTATGTCTTCTTTAGATATGTGGAGCAATTCTTTCAGTATGTTCGTGATTTCTGACATTATTTCTTGATTTGATTGCTTTTATAATCTCATGAAGTGTTTCTTTACTGCAGTTGCTATCCTCTCAGAGACTTCAAGTGTGTGACTTCCATTTTCTTCCATGACTGTATCTCCCAGACTTGTTTTGTGTGAGCTGGAGGTCTGAGATTGCCTTTTGCTCCTTCATCTTGACATTCTCCTGGGTTCCTCCCAACAAGCTGGTTGTGGGCCTCATGCACTTCTTAATTTGACTGCACCTCCACAGTGTAGGGGAATGGGACAGGCACCTGGTTTCCTCTGACCCTCAAAGAAGTTCCAAAGTTACAGGGAGTATCAGGGCGTGAAGTGGGCTTCTCCAGACCTGTGCAGCTACACTGGGGCTTCCCCAATGACCAGGTGTGCATGGAGGTGTGACTGCCTCTCTCAGCCTGTGTGTCCACACTGGGATTCCCATGATGGTGGCAGGCACACAGATGTCTGTTTGTCTGATTCTCCTGGTAGGTGATGGCTACCTGAAGGACCCAACGGCCTACAATGGTAGCCTACAGGTGCATGGAGATTACCTGCTCCTGCTGGCTGCCCAACAGGAAGGAGCCCTTTGGTGGTGGCAGCCAATAGGCAGAGGCAAATCTGTCTGGTTCTCTCCATCCATGCTGGCTGCCTGCAGGAAGGAACCATCTGGTTGGCGGCACTGGCACACAGAGGTGGATCAGCTGGTTCTCTCTGCCCATGCTGATTGCCCACAGGAAGGAGCCTTCCAGTGGTGCAGGCTGGCAGGTGGAAGCGGATCTGCTGGTACTCTCTGCCTGTACTGGCTGCCCATAGGAAGCCGGTGCACTTGAAAGGTAGAGGCAGATCTGCTAGCTCTCTCTGCCCACACTGCCTGCCCACAGGAAGGAGCTAGACTTGGTTTTTCTCTCTTCAAAGAAGTTTCAAATACAGTCCCAATCTCCTTCCTCCCTCAGATCTCAAGAATAAAGATTTCTTCTAGTTTATGTATTTCCTAAACATATAACCTACACAAATTCTTTTATTCTTTGTGGTAGTAAATTAACTTTTTGAAAAGAGAGATCATGAAAGACTAACGTGGATATTTTCTCTGTGGTCCAGACACATTTACGATTACTTTTCCTCCCATTTACTGGTCCATTCCCAAGACTCACCAATGGAGTACCTGAGTTGGGCTGTATTTATTGAACAAGGGGCCCGATGGCAGGTCACACTCCATCACTATCCCCAACCAATCTTTTAAAAGAGAAAATGAGTTTCCTCAATTTGTGGTTTATACAATGAACCTTGAAATTATACATACTTGAAACTGTTTATAAGCAGTAAAAAATTTTAAATGCAAAGATTTAATTTAGTATCACTCTTAGGCCCCAGTTTCATTCCAACCACATTTCCCCCACCTACATTTCTTAATATTAAATTGTAGGAAAATGTAGTTACAACAACATATTCATTACATTCATTAAATGATAGAGATAAGCGTGCACCCTGTGCAAGTATGGTATACAAGTTTAGTAAGTGTTCCATATTTTTAGACACAGTAATTATCAATAACAGTATTTCAACATACCGACTTGCACATATGAACACAGGTGTTTTGTTATTAAGCTATTAAGTTTAAAAATTTAAAAGAAAAATATTGTTAAAGGAAAAAAGTACAACTAGGTAAGAATTTTAAAAAATTTTACACCCTCAGCCCTTTTTATTTTGAAACTGGTCTCACTAAGTCACCCAGTTGCCCAGATGGCTGCTAGAGTGCTGCTATCACAGATATGCACCCCCACGCTGATGAGTCAACTCTTATCTGGTCTAACAAGGATCTGTTTAAGTGAAAATTAAATCAGAGCAAGTTTGAGAAATGTGCATTGAATACTCACTCCTTTTTGGTTTTTTTGTACCAGGGATCTAACTTACGACCTCGTGCTTGTCAGGCAGGCACTTACACTGATGAGCCAAATCCCTAGCCCTGAGCTTTCACTCCTTAATGGACCTTGGAATAGTTATGCACCAGTAAGGAACAGTTTTCACCTTCAAGAAGTTTATAGGCTTTTGGGAAAGAATGAACCATAACTACTTTATTAGATTTGGAAAAGCACAATATTAAAAATAAAAACAAAAATCTGTAGCAACTGGAAATAATGAAAAGATTTTAAAAAGCAGACCTGACAAATTAATTCTTCAGCTAGAATGACTGGAAACACGTGAGAGAATAGTAGAATACTGAAAAAGGTCAAGCATAGTGAGGTGTGTTACAGTACCAAGTAAATGAAAACACATGGAGAAACCAGACTAAAGTTTAAGATGATAATGCAGGCTAATATTTATCAAACATTTATTATGTTCCAAGTGCTATTAAAGACTTTCCATGTACTAATTTATCTGATCTTCAGGACCCTGGAAGGGATGTACTATTATAATACTCATTTTATAGATGACAAAGCTGAGGTATAGAAAGATTAAGAAACCTGCACATGGTTGAACAGACACAACTAGAAGTTACAGAGCCAGGTTCTTGAAATCAATAAATAATGAAGAAGATCAAATTCTGTCTCACCCTTGAGCTGCAAAAGCAGCTACCAGGTATCCTATCTACCTCTTCTCTCATTAATTCCTGGTCTATTTTTCAAGGTGTAGCTCAAATACTGCCTGCTCTACAAAGCTTTTCTTGATCCTCCCAGCTGAATATACATCACTTTCTAAGCTTCACAGAATTTCTATTTGTATCAATCTTATGTCATAATATTTTGTCCTGGCATTACAGATCTTACATGCATCATTTTTTCTTACTTTTTTTTCCTTTTAGTCTGATCCACTTGCTACTCTCCTGACTCTCTGAACAGTGCCTGTCATGTAATAATGCTAAATCTCTAGGGAAGAAGGGCATTATGGTAATCATTTTAAAGGAATTATTTCACGAAAACCTTACCACAACCCAATTCAATAGCTGTTTTCAGCCATTACGATGAGATAAAAATCTAGATACACCTTAAATTCAGTGACCAAGACAGATACGGTTTTTACCCTGAAGAAGTTGACAGTCTAGAAAGACAGTCTAGGATATATCGGTATGCCCATATAAAAAGATGAGGAAAAGAGGGGCTCAAACAAGTAAGTTGTTTGCCCCAAATCACGTAGTAAAAAAGTGACAGAGCCAGAATTCAAACCAGCTGTCCGGACCGGCTATTCAGGACCTTATGCACATAACTGCTAGTTCTAAAGGAGACACTGAGAAACACTTAAAGAAGGAAAAGTTCTGAATACCTCTGAAGTGAAAGATCACCTCAAGGATAAAGCAGGGTTTCACTCCTTCTTTTTGAAGGAAAGCTGGAAATGTACAAAAGTAGACGGAGGTTGTAACCGTGGTCTAATACTAGCCAGCTAGCTAACTACTACTCACCAAGCCCATGTGTGACTAGCTGGTTATCTTAAAGTGAGCCCCACCCCGCAGTACCCCATGAGGGGCCCTTTTGGGCATCAAGGCTTTGCTGCCCACAGGTGGTGCAGCTGAGACACCAAGTGGCACCGAGGCTTTGTGCGCATCTTCCAGACAGTGGAGTAAATGGTGACCAAGGTTCCCTACTTTAACTTGGGGGCATTATTTTTAAAAAGTGGATCCAGACTCCAAGAGCTCTCTAAGAATCCATCCCAGAGTGGGAGGGGTGAGGTGATTACACCCACAACTCCTCAGGCCCAGGAATCCAGTCTTGTGCTTGTGCTTCCATGCTGACCTGGCAGGCCGCAGGCGAACCCACGCCTTCCTCCAAACGCCAACGCCCTCCTCCAAACGCCATCGTGGTTGTCACACTTTTTTGTCTACACCCCGAGCCACAAAAGTGGGTTTTAGCTGCCTCGAATTATATATATACCCTATAGACCAGCAGAAAGACGCTCCGGAAAACAGTCGTCTCAATCCAATATATATATATATATATATATATATATATATTTTTTTTTTTTTTTTCTTTTTTTAGACAGGGTCTCACTGTGAAATCACTGGTGATCCTCCTGCCTCAGCCCCCCGAGTATGGGATTATAGGCATGTGCCTCTATATACTGTTGTCCACATACTCTTGACAACCTGACTTGGCATCTGATGCAACAAGTTAAGTAGCGAAGCTCTCTAAGGATGAGGAGCTGTTCCAGGAGGTTTAGCTTTGGATTCACCCGCAACCCAACGCAGTTTTCAATTTACTGCAGAACGCCGAAGGCGTGTCTGGCAGGAGCCGCGCCCCCCTCCGCCCCGCCCCCTCTCACCGTTCACCAATGGCCTGCTGCGCCGGTGCCTCGCGCTCCAGGCCCGCCTCCCTCCCGCGGAGGAGTGCTAGGCGCATGCGCTTCGCGAAGCGGGAAGGGTGAGGCTGTCTCCGTGGAGGGGAGGGAGGGCGGAAATGGGAAAGACAGGTGGGCGCAGCCTCAGCCCTGGCTGTGCGCCCGCGGAAGTGTGCGTTGGGACAGAAGGGGACAGGTGGTCGCTAGGGAGGTCGAGGACAGGACTTCCACCCGGAACCGGGGTTTGGCGGCCGGCTAACCCAGCCGGGTTTCTATGTATGTGCCCGCCTAGGGAAACATGGAGACCTGCTTGGTGGCGGCGGCGCTGAACGGGGTGGACCGACGTTCTCTGCGGCGCTCGGCCAGGCTGGGTCAAGAAGTGCTGGAGCGGGCCAGGCGGAGGGCAGTGGACTGGAGTTTACAGGAGCGCCTCACTGGCGGCGAGGGTGTCCTTTTCCGGGAGGGGCCCTGCGGAGAAGGACGGCAGGCAGTGGAGCCTCGGCGCCTTCGGCCCGCAGAGGTGAGGGCCCAGGTGATGGGACCTCGGAGCGCTGTGCTCCGAAGGGTGCGTCCCACAGATCGCGGGACAGCTCAAAGAAAAGTCCTTTGAAAACTGTTTTTGACAGGTGTTGAATCATAGTGCTTGGCCCTATTAATTTTTTACTAAAAATTTCTTACACACTAACATCTGATATTGGAGGAAACTAGCAAACTTTTTTTTGGGAGGGGGAGGTCCTTGAAAAATTCATGTCTATCTTACTGTTGTGTATTTTAGGGTTCATGTCAGTCTTGGAATTCCTTCTCAGTAAGAGCTTTCTAACTTAAACTTGCACAGGTCTTTACAAAAGTGAAAAGAGTATTTTTAAAATTCATGCACCAGTAGTGAATCCTGAGTCTCACGTGTGACTTGCCTGTTATTGAAATAGAGAGAAGACAGACACCCGACCCTTAATGCTTCCTTCAGAATAATGGCTGAATTCATGGACTATACTTCAAGTCAGTGTGGGGTAAGTTAGTGTGACCCAAAGCTGTAACTATTCCCCTAACTGCCTGCCAATTGATTATAGGCTTTTTCTGGACTGTAGGGATATTGCTGCCCTGCAGATCTTCGTGGAAAATTGTAATCAGCAATTAAACCTGGTGGAAAATTCAAATTAGAATTCATCCTACAAATAGTTACTCAGTTGCTAACCCTGTAATTATTGTTGAGGATATGGTGAAGGCAGACACTTTCTCTGCTTTCATTGAGTTTTCAGTCTGTTGGGGGAAAATATCTTTTTTGCTGAAATCTTTAGAATAAGTCAAGTATTAGGTTTTTGTTTCTTATTTTGAACTGAAGTTAAAAAAAACTTTAGGCTCACTCTTAAGATGTATTGAAACAAAATCCTAACATTAGACCTTAACCTCCAATGTTTGTTTCAAGTCCCTGGTGAGGTAGTTAAATGTGTCTCAGTGGGGCAATCAGTTGTTGGCAAAGATCAGTCTGTGCAGCAGATACAGTTCCTTGGTCAGGTGTTTGGTTAATGGCAGGAGGAGCTTCAAGTAGCCAAACCCATGTTCTGCCAGTACTGACTGTAATTCCTTAAGCCAGTTACTTTCTTTCAGCCTTACCTAAGAAGGGTGACCAGAGTACCAAGAAGCTAGGGAAAATACTTAAAATGTGAAGCTAATGGTGTGTTTTAGCTTCCCTTCATAAAATAAAATTTCTAAAATCCCTTTGTTTTTATAGCTTTTCTCTGTCTGTCTGTCTGTCTGTCTGTCTCTCTCTCTCTCTCTTTTGTCTCCACCAGAGATGATGGTTTCTTCCAGCAAATTACCATTAACTCTGGCATGGGGGATTAAGTGACCTTTTTGAATACTTTTCTTCTTTCTTTTATTTTGTAGTATTGGGAGTTGGACCCAGAGGTGCTCCACTGCTACGTTACATCCCAGCCATATTTTTTATTTTGAGATAGGGTCTCTCTAAGTTGCCCAGACAGGATGTGAACTTGTGATCCTCTGCCTCAGCTTCCCTCATTGGTACAGTGACAGGCATGGATTACTCTGTCTGGCTTTTGGTATGTTCATTGAAATGAATGAATGAAGATTTTAAACTCTCCTTGTCTTCAAACCCCTACACTTAGATCATTTTTATGTACTTAGAGGGAATGTTGAAGGTGGATCAGCCAACACTGAAGGAAGCCACTGGCATGGAAGGTGCTCTGTGTCTTACTCAAGTCACACAGCTCTCTCTCAGCCTTAATATTTTAAGTCTTTTATGCATGAAGGGTTCTGGTCAATAAGGCACAGGGAAGAGACTCTCTTGTTTCTGTCCTGCTTTGGGATATGTTAAGATCCCAAAAACCTAATCTTAATCTTTTTACATCTTTTACTAAACTTCCAGTGACTCCAAGAACACAATTCCAACCAATGAGATAGGGATCAGAGAATATTTTTAAGTTTATATTTGTTCTGAGGTGATTGTAGAAAAATGTGTAACTTCAGCTCTGCTATAAAGTAATTAACTTAAACTCTTGGTTCATGATGTACTCAAAGCAGCAATATTTGTCCTTGGTTTTAAGTTTTGCAGATTGGTGTTCTCTATATTGGTTTTCAGTTCATGCTTCGGTTCAAGTTTGTTACAGAATAGAGCTTCAGAAACCCTGGACTTTATTGAGATTTAGTATTCTGAGTTTGCACCCACAATTTTGAAGCAGCCCCTAAAATGCATCATTAGATCTGTGTCCTCAAGCACTTTCTCTAGCTTCTCGTTCGTTTAGTCACATGGCTGTAGACACTAACCCTACAGTGTGTTCAGAATAAGCAGGGTTGGGATGCCTTCATCATTAGTCATAATCAAAGGCAAATCTGAGGTTCATTTCAATGTCGAGGAAGGAATAGAGGAGAAAAAAAAATGTATCCATTTTCCAGACCCTTTGGATTATTCTTAATCTGGAGACCTCTCCTTCTACTCCCCTGTATGGGAACCCTGGGAGGACTGAAAAATACTTATGTTTTGTTTCTTGATGTATCACAAGGAAGTTACCCCTATCTTCCTGGGTCCTTCTCTAAGACAGTAAACTTGGAAGTGTTCCTGAGAATTTGTTAGAGGAGGAAATGAAAGGGCATGTGTACTAGTATTTGGTGTTGTAGCAGAGATGTGAAAATTATTTAACATGGGAAAAAGAGCATGATGCTGGCCAGAGTGCTTGCCCTATAGAGGCAGCAGATGGCAGCAAAGTCACCCCAAATGCATTCTGTTTTCTGCAGCTTTCTTGCTCTGGAACTGAAGAGGCTGTTGAAAGGACAATTATTTGCTCTCTTTCTTCCCTCTTTAATCATACTTTGCCTATATATCAGAAAGGTGTTTTGTGTTCTGAAAATTCAATCAGACTAGTTACCCTCCATCTTTCACTTTACTTCTCCAGAAATATTATTCATCGGTGCCAGAGGAAGGGGGGGCCATCCACGTCTATCGTTACCACAGAGGGACGTCTCAGCAGCATGTGTGCTCAGACAGAGGCTATGGTCAGGTATGTATTCCAGCATCCTGCACTGTGCCTACAGGCTCTTGAGGATAAGCCCCTGTGTTTGGGAGGTTCTGGACTCTTGTCTTGGTCTTTTTGAGACAAAGTCTCACTGTGCAGTTCAGGCTGGCCTTCAACTCACTTTGTGGCCCAGGCTGGCCTCGAACTCATAGCAATCCTCCTGCTTCAGCATCCTGAGTGCTGGGATTACAGGCATGTGCCACCATGCCCGGCTCTTGACTCTTATTTTGGAAGCCTGTGTGACTCGGCTGTACAGTGGCCATTAGAAGTGTATCGTTGCTCAACCTGAGAGAATTTACAATAATGAGCATTAAGCATGGCCTTGTCCAAAATATGAGGATCTGTGGATGAACCTGCAGTTCTGGGCCATGGATCTTGGGCAGCCTGTAAAAAAAGAGCTTGTCATATCCTTTTCTATATCCAGGGACAGGAAGGAGATTTTTAATAATTAATATATCTTACTATGAGGTAATGATAACTTCCATGTGTTTGGTAATTTTTAAAAAGTGCAAAGATGGGGCATCTATTTTAACAAAATACTTTTTCTAAAAATAATGGTTATAGACCTCTTACTGCAGACTTACCTGCCTTTTACTGTGTATCATTGTGAGGAAGCTGAAGGTTCTACTTGTTGAACAGTAGCTGGTGGCAGTGGTTGGTTGCTAGGTTTGGAGGATGTGTTGTGGGAGTTTTTTTGGTACTGAATACTGAACTTGCATGTGCTAGGCAAGCACTCTGCCACATAGTTCTCCAACTTTTCTATTTTTTGAAACAAGGTCTCAATAAGTTGCCCAGATATACCTTACCTCCACCTTGAAAGCCTCCTGATTCAGCTTCCTGAATAGTTGAAATTGCAGGCACGCACCACCACCATGCCCAGAAACAGTGGTGGCTTTTGAGGAGAGTAGGCTTTTTAGCTTTTTGTGTTTTGTTTTTTTTTTTTTTTTTTTTAACTTGCAAGCTGTACTCAGAGATAGCAAATTTAAGTCCAGAGTCTGATCCCCAAATTAGACTCCTAACTTCTCTGACTCCTGGTTTTCCTGGGGGATAAAGCAGAGGAGATTAAGAAAAGTGGGGGTGGTGAGCACCCAGATATGAGCAAGGACTGAGTACAAGCTGGAAGCATGCCCTGCGTTCCTTTCTAAGATGTGGAGAACCACCATCCTGAGTTCCCTTTCCAGCCTATCCTGAGCGCTGTCTTAAGTGCATCTGATTTTCAGAGGTCACATATGGGGAAGAGTCATTACTTTCTCCTTGTAAAATGTAAGTGGTGGCTCTAAGAGTCACTTTGGTGGCTTTGTTAGTCACTGTTCGCTTCTAGTATCCCACTTCTAGGAGAACACAGAAGAGAATTTTATTTTCTAAGAGCTTTTCAAGTGTCATCAGTTTTGCACTTTAAATCTGCCCTAAATTCAGTTTCTCATAATACAGATTAGGAAACCAAGGCTGGGAAGTTAATCAGTCCCTCTCAGTATAGAGCAAGGAATGTGATTTAAACTGAGACCTCTCTGACAGCGAAGCCTGTGGAAGGATAAAAAGTAATCATGGTAAATAGCTGTCAAAAGTACTTCACAGAACTCACTAAAGATAGCCTTAAAAAGGTAAGTAACAACTTAGAAAAAATGTACAGAATTCTAATAAGGTGGGAGAAAATTTCTCTTTATAATTCAGAATACAAAGCTTGGAAGTATTTCTGCTTCTCTCTTCAGAAAATAGACAGACAGAAGATATCCCTCGATCCAGGAGGCGTCTGCCGAACAGCAGAGCCCAGTTCTGAGGCATCCCAGCCTGTGAGTGTGGGACCGCATGCGTGCTGGGCTTCTCTACCGTGAGCCACTTGACCTGTTAATTATAGGGGTCTCTGTCTGCACAGGATCTGTGGTATTTTTAAATTCTTACAACTTGAGGAGGGTGCACAGAATTTGCAAAATTATGTTTTCTTGTTGTCCTCCTTTTACTGGATGCTTCAGCCATGCTCTTGTGTCTGAACTCAGAGTTGTGGTTGGAAAGAATGTGAAGTATTCCTATCTCAGTTCCTGCAGCTCAGCTGGGCTGGCTTTGGGTCCTGCTGGAATTCCACCATCTGTTCAAGCAGCAGGAGGGCCTGAGCCATGTCCTTAGAAAGTATAACCATTGCTGAAAGTCTGCAACGTACACATTTTGTAAGGCAGCAGGTTCAGAAACACTGTAAGGTACTAGTTGCTATGTTTCCTAAATGTTGCTCTGTAAAAATGTGTAATGGTGAGTCTTTCATTTTTTAGGATAAAGTACTCGTTAGTTGATAAGCAGGGAATCTTTCGGAATTTGGAAGGGCTGAAATTCTGAGAAAAGGAACTTGAGCATGTTGCACAATAAATTCCTTATTTTTGTTTGTGTACAGTTTGCTTCTGGCCAGGATCTGAACTATGCTGGAGTTAGTAGCCACTAAGAATATGCTGCTTGTAGGTCAGATATGAATTGGTAGGCTTAGACACCTCAATCATCTCTTCCTTTTGGTGATGCTCCGGTCTCCATCCAAGGTTGCCTTGTATGCAGACAAGTGGTGCAGTCTTGGCTGCTGTGATTGCTTTCACAGCTATATTTTCTTAACCTTACTTTTGTTTCACAGTTAACAACCAATAAATAGTGGCACCATTGTCTTATATAATCAAATTGGTTAAATGATAATAAATCTTCAAGTTTGTAGTAACTACCAGTAGATGTGAAAGGATATGAAATAAAGCAGTTTTTGAAAAAGTTGGCTTCAAATCTACCTGAGACAAGCCAGGGAGGGTGCTGTGTATAAATACTATCACTTATTCCTGCTAGTAGAACTTGCTAGCTAGTGGTTTTGGTTTTTTTCCCATGTGCGGCATTAGAAATGACACCTTGTATCTGGGGCTCTTTCTGAGCACTAAGCAAGCATGTGGTGGCATCTCAGCTGTCACATGGCTCTTACTCTTTTCTGATTTGTAACTTTGCCCTTTGCCAGTTGAATTGAGACCTGTCCTCTGCCTGCCATGTCTACCTTGGAGGATGGTTTGTGCCCAGTTCATCTCTAAACATGAATCTTTTCATTAAGTCCAGCTTTCAGCACTTTGCACCCAGAGAACCAGTCCTCCGAAGGAGAGCTTTTGCCAGACAACTGACTTGCTGCTCTGGTGACAAACAGCATTCACCCCTGTTGTTCTTTAGGAGAAAAGAAATCCTTCAGTTTCCCAGTAATGAATTCAGCAAAGCACAGTGAAAAGAAAGGTTCCCATTTTGCTGAGGGACCTTGCCATTACTGCCAGTCTCAGCTCTCAAGTGCCTCCGCCCACTTTTATCTCCAAAACAATGGCCATTAGTCTTTCCACCTGCCTAATCCTTACTGCAGTTAGAGTGTTCCTGTAATACTTCCTGTTCCTATAACACTTCAGCATTTACAGAGCATTTTCATATGCTTACTTGTGAGATGGGTGTTATTGCAGCTTTAGAAGTAAGGAAACATAAGTGAAAGCTGAGACTCGCCTGATGACAGTTGGGCCAAGCTGACTCTTGAGAGCGGGGCTTTTCTCCCTCATTTGTACTTCATCTCGTCATCCCTTCAGCATGGAAGGGTAGTCAGGTAGAGGTGCCATGATGTGCTTAAGATAAAATGTCTCTGAACTACTGTATTGTTTTCCTTCTAGGCCGAGAAAATCTCTAAGGACCTCTACATAGAAGTATATCCAGGGACCTATTCTGTCACTGTGGGCTCAAATGCCTTAACCAAGAAGACTCACGTGGTAGCAGTTGATTCAGGACAAAGTGTGGACTTGGTCTTCCCTGTATGATGTTGGCCACCACTATCACCACATGGCTTTTTAAGTAGCAAGAAGAATAAAGCCACCATGACTTTTTAATAATAATACCTAGTCCTGTTTCTAGTGCTGACCATCAAGGGTCAGCCTCCTGGGAACTGCAGTCCGTCTCTCTCAGTGCCCATGAGAGGACAGAAGTCCCTGTCTCTTTGCCGATAAGTAACAATATGATGATGAAGTCTGAATGATTTTTACTGCTTGTTTTCTGGGTCAAGATTAATTATAATAAAGGGAGTGATTTGGAAGCAAAGATAATTCATTTTTATTGGTATTTAAAAATGCAGTATTCCATGTTCAATTGTAGGCTTTATGGAAAGATGGCAGAGGCTGTGGACACATGCCCAAAGCTGGCCAGCCACACTGGTCTCTGTGAGAAAGCAGTCCACAGGCGGTCTCACCAGGCCCTTGGCAAGGAATGCTGGGAGAAGGCCACCAGCTCCTGCAGCTGCCTTCCTGCTGCTCACCTCCAGGGAGGTCTTACAGGGGTGAAGATGCAGGTGCCCACTTGATTGCCTCTGTGTGTGTGCTACCTCTGTCCATTGAAGGCCATTCAGCCTGCTCTGTAGAACTCTCTTCAGATATTTACCATCACTGCCTTTTCATTTCCTGTGAGGAACAAAAAATCCTGAGTCTTATACTGACTTAATTTCAAGAATCAGAATCACTTATTTTTGAGAAGTCACAGACATGCCTCAAACTTGCTTGTACACCAGTAGTATTGTTGCATCTCCCAATTTAGTTGCCTGGTAAATCATCCCATTTCGAACAAAGCGAGCCTTAGGGAAAGTGCCGGTATTTTATGTGGTGAAAACAAAAAGAGAGCTATGTTAGAATTTCTACAAGACCAGACTCCCATGGATAGAGGGCCTAGGAAAACAACTGCATCCAGCCGTGGAGGGCTAATAGTCATTCAGACGGGGATCCTTGCACCCTCCAAGCCTCCGATGAACTTCATGGATTTTCTGAATCTTACTAAATGTGAAGCTGTGGGCATGCGCAAGTTTCGGGAAAATTAGACCATGGGCCTTAGCATTTGCAAAGGGCATGTGACCCCCAGAAGGTCTAAGAACCATGTAAGAGTCCCTAAGAAGCCCCTTCTCAGCCTTACCTAGATCCTGGGGGCTCTTGGTGTTGAGTGAACTCTTACGCCACTGATGCACTGTGATGCCTGGAAAAAGTTTTCTGTGTCCCCCTTGCAAGGTCTGCAGTGACTTCATGTTGGTTGCTTTCAGGGCCAGCTCCTTTGTAGTCCCCGCTACTGCAGCTTGTACTTTCTCTTGTTTGTCATCATCTTTCGGGATGTTGTGACATATTCCTAATTCCAAAATCAATTAGTCATCTTGGATGTACCACCATTTTGAACTATATCAAGGACCACTGATCTCTTAAGTATCTGTGAGCACCTAGCCTTATTCTCTTTTAAAAAGAAATGAAGTTTATTAATCTTGTCTGGCCGTTGTTCATTTTGGGAAATTGCTATTATCTGATACCCAAATGCTGCCACTGGTCAAAGGATCTTCTACTTCTTCACAGTGTTGTCAGGAACACCTCTAATACATCAGTATAATGAGATAGGACCCTGATAGAGGCAAAGCAGCCCAGGCATGGTGGTGCATGACTGTAACCCCAACCTTCTGGGAAGCTATAAATTTTGGGAGTATTGCAAATTCAGCAACTTAGTAACTTTGTAAAGCTGTCTCTCAAAAAAAAAAGAATTGAGGCAGAACAAAATGGGACTTCTGAGAGAGAGGAGAACAATCTAAAAATACACTAGGTGTGATGGCACACAGCTGTAATCACAGCACTTGGGAGGTTGAGGCAGGAATATCACTGTGAACTTAAAGTCAGCCTGAAATATATAGTGAGATCAAGTCTTGTTAAAATGGAAGGAATACCTTAAATTTGCTTTAAAACTAGATTGAATCCTGTTCCAATCATAAGGCAAGGTGAGAAGGGACCGTGAAGTCCAGCAGCCCACAGTGTGGCCTCCCAATGAGAGGAACTTAAAGTGTGGGAGCAGAAGGACCCAGACCGGAGGCTTCTGAAGGGGCAAAGCTTGAGACTATCAAGCATCAGCGCTTGACAGAGCTGACATCTAGTACTGATTAAATACCAGTCATATTTAGGAGAAGCAAAGCAGCACATTTCCTTAAAAGGCTAGGAAATCTGGAGAGAAAACAAAAAAGCTGTCATTTGCCATTGTTTCCATCTCAGTCACGTGGTCTTAGGCACTTCCGTCTTTGCCAGTTAGCAGTGACAGGCAGAGCCACATCTTCAACAAGGGCTAGGGATGGCCTGGGAGCCTACCCAGCGATGCTCATAGGTCAGCCCTTGGAATTAAGCTTTCCCTAGAGTGCAACAGAAGATTCAGTTCCTGAAGATATCATATTTCTCTTTGAATCATCAGAATGTATTTTTTGGGAAAAATCTTTGGAATGGATCTGTTAAATGCAGTGTTGGGAAAGTGACCTAATGCGGATGTCAGTGGCTTTGGGCAGTGGAGAGGAAAATAATGTATGCTTAGGACCAGGGACAATTTGTTTGGACCTTACTGGGTTTGGATTCACTTTAGAAATTGCTATGGAACAAGGTGCAGCAGTGGGAACTCTGTGTCTGCAACCGTGGCCCCTGGCTACCCCTGTTTTGTTCCTTTCCCTCACACTGGGACTGAAGCTCTCAGCTGCTCCCAGACTCTCCTCTCTCAGACCGATGTGACTTTTCCATCTCCAGGCTGTGTTGGAGCAGGAGACTGTGAAAACTATGTAAAAGCACAAAAACTAGATTTACCATAATCTCAGCACTTGGGAGGCTGAGGCAGGGGAATTGCCATCAGTTCAAGACCAATCTGAATCACAGAGCAAGACCCTGTCTCAAAAACAAAACAAAACAAAACACCCTAGATTTGGGCACCATACTCTCCTCACTTGTTACCAAGGCAGATCTCAGAAACAACTGTTTCCAAAGCTTATGACTGTGAGATCAGAGGGACCCATTTCACAGCAATCCAGCATCTTTCCCCTCCACTTTATATTTTCAACACAAAGTTTTCTTTTGGAGAGAGGAGAAGGAGAGGAAAAGGCTCAGCAGGATATAGATGGGGTCTTGTCCTGAGCTTTCCTAGTCAGAGGCTAGAGAAAGAGCCCACACCTGGGAGCTCAGAGAAACCCCGCCACCTTCATGTAAAATACAACTGTAGCAGGCTTATGTCCAGCTCACCTGTGCCAGTGCCCAGCGGCCCACAGAAGTCACCCAAGGAAGTTTCTCATTAAAGAAACAATCCTTCAACTTTCTGGAACTGAAGAGTAATTAAAATCCTTACCCTTGGGACTAGAGATGGGGCTGAGCAGTCCTAGCTAGCCTGGGAATAGGGCAGCTTCAAATAAGGACTCAGGGTGAGGCCCAGTGTGGGCAGTGCCTTGAGATCCTTAAGCCCTAGCACTCGCAGCATGCCTGCCTCTGCTGCCCTTCACTGGATGCCACATTGGTGACCCTGGGGTCCACACAGTCTGGCCTCGGCCTGGGCATATCCAGGCTGCCTCTCTCACAGTTCTGCCAGCTAACCTAGATCCTGCTTTTTCTAGGCACCACTGGGAATTTAGGCAGGATGTGTGAGGATCTGATCAATAATAGGCTGCTTCCCAAACTACCACTACCTTTAGCTCAGGGGAGAGCAGCGTGGGAGAGGCCGCCACCGACAACTCAGCAACGATCTTTGCTAGTGGTGAAGAATGAGCAGTGGTTCTTTCCACTCTGAGATCTCCATCTGGGGACTGTGGCCAGATAGACAATGTTTAAGAACCAATTTCTGTGCTGCTCATATTGGTGACACTAATCAACACCTGGATGCATTTTAACTGTTCAAATCAAGGCTTCCAGGGAGCAAAAATGGCCAGCGAGAGAGCTCAGTCAGTTGACCAGAGAAAATGGTAGGTATTAAAGGTAGCTCTTAGTACAAAGCTCAGCCAATCCTGCCTCTCGTTTATAGCTTGAAAGGAAACTGACCGCTTCCCCTTCTCAGTCTCCCCTTCCCCACATCGGCCTTTCAAATATCCATTACTTCCAAGCTGACAGAATGGGGAGGAGCAGCAGATTCCCAAGGGACACAGGGACGGAAGCCAGCAGCCCTTCCTGGGATGATGAGCCCTCATCCTTGGTCTACCTGGCTTCGCAGGATGCGGCTCCAGCCCGTTCCTCCTCCAGTACCTCCACGGGGGTTGTCGGGGGCTGTTCCGAATCAGAGGCCTCTTGGGGAGGATGGGGTCAGTGTTGACTGCGCTGTTCACCACCAGTCTCTGGGGAAGGCCCATTTCCAGATTATCCTCCAAATCTTCGCAAGAGGAGGAGGAAGAGGAGGAGAAGGAAGATACAATGTGGGGAGCGTGCACTGCCACTGCTTCCGCTTTAGGGTCTTCTAGGGGCACAGGCTGTGCTGCTGGCTTCAGTCCTGTCTCTGGGAGATCTCTGGCTGCGCTGTGTGAGGTCCCAGTGAGAGGCCACCAGGTGGAGCTCATCGAGGGACAGCAGCAGAGGTAGACCCAGCAGGGCAGCTGGCAGCAGGTGTGGGAGTGGCAGGGAGGGCACAGGAGTGCAGCATCTGGAGGAAGCCTGTTGGTGATGCCTCCAGGTAGTGTCCCCAGTGAAGAGCAGCAAGGGGCCCAGAGGGGGGCACTGGGGTACTCCCTGGTATAAGGCTTGCTGAGCCTCTCCACAGCCTTCTTCCAGATAGTGGGGGGCACCCACCTGACCCCGCCTAGAGGCACCTGAGCTGTCTCGCCATTCCAGAGGTGAACAGTAACTTCCTCTTCCTTCCCTGCTATGAAATGGAAAAGGGCAACACTTTATTATAATTAACCTCTTCCTTGGGTTCTGTCGCCCAGGCAAGCCTCAGCTGGGCCCCTCTGCTCTCCTCTCCCCTGTGCCACAGTGGCCACTTCATCCTGGCAGGATGCATCAGTCTCCCTCCCTCCTGGGTGACAACTGCACTGGAGGGGTCTGTTTTTCACAAAGAACCAAATGCACCCTCAGTGGACGCTTCCTAACATTGTGTAAAGTACAAGTGGGCTGATTAGCCCTGTACAAAACGACTGTCAGTGCCCGGAGAACCTGATGAGGGAGGGTGGTAGTTCAGGTGCAACCCCAAGTGAATACTGTGGCTTAACTAACCAACATAGACAGGGTAGTCATAAGTTACTTTCCCTAATTAAAAAATTTACAGTCTGAAAGATAGCATTGTTGACCCAGGCATGGTAGCATATGCCCATAATCCCAGTACTTAAGAGGCTGAGGCAGGAGGGTCATGTGCCAACCTGGGCAGCATAATGAGCTCAAGGCCAGCCTGAAATACATATCAAAACAAAAACAAAAGATTTATGGTTCTATATCCGTTGGTGCCCAGAGTTAAGTGGCAAGTGAGGACATAAGAATTCTTCTTTTAATGGCTTGAAGATCTCTAAGCTCTGGTGTGATCACCATCTTGGTTCCCTCTGGAGACTGGGGTCAGAGTAGCTTCCCTTACCTCGCTGATTGTCTCGCACCTCTGAGCCCAAGAGAACAGTGCCAGGACCGTACCGCTGTCGGTCTGGCTCCCACGCTGCCAACACCTTGTCACCAGGTTGCAGTGAATATTCCAAATATGGTGAGAGTTGAACAACATCTTTGTCTGAGACTACACTCTGCCTCTGGGCTGGCAGCTTTGGGCCAGTGACAAATTCCACAAGCAGGATCCCCTGCCTCTCCAGCTGTGGGAAAGAACACAGAATAAGATTTGGCCTTAGAAAGGAAAACAGGGAATGCTTTGATCCCCCGTGAGGGTCAAGAACCAGGCCCCAGGTCTTCCTTGCAGAGAGAGAGAATCTTGCGAAGAAGGGACGGGAACAGGTGCTGCCTGGCCCTGACTGGAGCTGAGACAAGCAGGGCTGCTGCGGTCCCTCCTCCTCTTCTTGCTGTGGGCAGCTCTGTTCATCACAATTTGCCTTTCCCTTTCCATCATGTTTCCCTGGTTTTTTTTCCTTCTACCAAGTTTTGGGCCCACAATTCCCAAGAGTAGCCTGGGTCCTCTGAATCTTTCCAAAAATAAATAAATAAATAAACAAAATTAAATTTAAACAAAACAGCCAGGGATTTAGCTCAGGGGCTCAAGCGTTTGCCTGGTAAGTGTGAGGTCTTGAGCTGGATTCCCAGTATACAAAAATATTAAAAATTTGAGTCTTTCCTCAACTCATGTCCCTCCTCCAAACACTACCAAGAAGTGTTGTTCCTGTGCCCAAGACTAACCAGGGATAGTTTATTATTCATCTATCTGGCCCTCATAGACAGTCATTGTGGCCTCGGAGAAGCCCTCAACCTGCCATTATAATTAGAGAAGAAGGGTTTAGCTGAGTAAGTGAATAGGGACCAAGAGAAGTACTGAAGCTAAATAAAAGTAGACGTCCCCTGAGTGTGCAGTTACAAATATTTTTTTTTTGTCTTTTTCATTTTTATCGGTACCAGGGATCGAACTCACAACCGCCTGCTTGCAAGGCAGGTGCTTATGCTGCTGAGCTAAATCCCTAGCCCCGCAAATATTTTTAATAAATCACTAGAGAGGATGACAAGACCACTATTTGAGCAAAAACTCTGCTAACATTTCATTTGAATTCATCTTTTATTCAAAAATGACAAAATTACTTTTAATTAGAAATTCCATGTGTCTTTTCTTGTTTTGTTTTGGAGATTTCATAATAATCTTCCCTCCATTGATCCACATTCACAAAGTCTGATTTTGAAAAGTTCCAGAGAAGTAAGTAGCCCCAAAGTCAAATCCAGCCTGGACTGCTGGTGCACCCTGCAGAGTGAGCTCAAATGCATGTGGGCAAGCACATTTTGCCCTTTCTTTTAGGCTGGTGCGCATAATCCACTATGCTGGATTTTCCTGAACAAAACACGATGATAGGGTTGTATTGTGTCTTCCTTTCTACCAACTCACCTGCAGAAGTCCTGCCTCCAAGAACACAGAATGTGACTTTACTTGGGAACAGTAAAGGTATAATCAGTTCAGATGAAGTCAGAATGAGTGAGGCAGACACCATCAGTGAGTATACTGGGTTGTGGCACTTTGCTATGTGGTCCTCCCAAACTAATACTCTCACAGATATTACCTGCTCACTTCTGTAATCTGTCTGTGGAAGATCTGTGTTTATCCAAGAAACCAAACTACTTGTATAACTAAGGCAAATGAGATACAACAGGGCCATCCAGAGGAGCAGGCCAAGATGCTAGGAGTTAGGGACTCGCCTCTGGAGCAGCCTTTATCTGAGCCTGGTAATAAAGGCCATCTGGTTCCCTCCTTGCCAGGACCCAGGTGTTAGCAGCATCTCTAACTCCTCCCAGCCAGCCAGGGCCCTGCCATGCTGGGTCAGCAATGCAGAGACAGGGATGATGTGAAGCATACCTGGAAAAAAGCAAACAAAATTATGGGCAAATACCAAGACCCGCAAAACATCAAGAAACGTTTCAGTTGGATCTGAGCATACTGTGGCATGTGAATGACATACAGTGGGGTGGGGAACAGGAACCCATGGAGAATGCGGCAGTGAATCACTTCAGGTAAAATAAGGTAAACTTTAGGGTGGGCAAATGATGGGGACACCAAGAAATTAAAAAAAAAGAAGATGAGGACAGTGAAGGGAACCGTTGTTTTGAAAAAAGTATGCTTGGAAGTGAGTCCTAAACTACTGGTACTTGATGACTCTAGGCCTCATCCTGGACCAAGTGGACTGGAAGGCCAAAGGAGCTAACCTGGAAGGTTCTTGGAACTGCGGGGTCCAGAGATGGAGAAGGGTTGGAGTAGGGGCAGCACAAGGGGCTGGGCATGGGAACTGGGCTGGAAAGGGGAGGCCAAGTCTGGTGAAGTGTGTGGGCCAGGTCGGCTGGCCTCGGAGAGTTGAAGCGTGTGGTTTTGGGTTTTTTGAAGAAGCTGTTTTATGGTCAAGCCTGAATATGAAGTTGCTTAACTTGGCCTGGAATAGGATGGTTCAAATAGACTGATCAAGAAAGGGAGTAGTGAAAGACTATCCAGGCTGACTTGTCCCTGACCCAGGCCAACTGAATTAAATAACATAGGAGTGATTCGTAGAATTTATTTTGTTATTTTTTATTTTTTTGTCTTTTTGAGACAGGTCCTGCTGTGCAGTTCAGGCTGGCCTTGAGCTCACTTTGTAGCCCAGGCTGGTCTCAAACTCGCAACTATCCTCCTGCCTCAGCTTCCTGAGTGCTGGGATTACAGGCATGAGCCACCACACCCAGCGATTCATAGAATTTAAACAAAATTCTCATATTTGCATCTGTCACAGGCTAAAGTTCCTTTGCTCTTTTTCTAATTAGTATATGATTGCCATACACAATGAGTATGCTTATCCTGGGAAGTTGTTACATGTACATTCCCATCTTAATCCTTTTTATTTCCCCTTTCCCTTCTCCTCCTCCCTCCTTCATCCATCTCTAAATTCCCTTTCTATTTACAAAAGTTCTCTCTTTCTCTTCTCTATTATCTACTTTTTATTTTGCTCTTTGAATTATTTATACTTTGCATCCTTTGCCCACTTGGAATTGTACTTTAGACAGCTGACTGAGGACACTATTCAAGCACATAATGGATGGTTGAGGACTTTCCGTTGCCATATAGGGTTAGGAGTTGAGAGGGAAGGTTGTTTGCTATCTGCTTGTTTAACTTCTGTTCTGAGTTGACTCAGTTGACAATATATGGAAAACGTCTAGAGTATAAGTAGCTCAATATATGGTTGGATTTTCCTCCCTCCTTCCCAGTGATAGGGACTTCACAAACCCCAAACCTGATGACACCTGAAATGAATCTAGGAGGAAATCTGAGGGAACCCAAAGAGGGAACCTGGAAACCTCAGCAACCCTGACTTCTCATATGCTGCCCCAGCAAGTTCCAACAGTTGATGGTGGAATGAGCTAGAAATCTTTTACCTGGTCTTTGTTGACTGATTTCTCTCAACTGCGGTAGCCACAGCTCTGTTACAAGAGGAACCATAGCCTTGTCACTAGAGGTCACTGGGAGGACAGTGTAAACAGGGGTGAGAGATTTTTACCCCATGCAAATCTCAGGCCAGAAATCAAGTTCCCCCTATCTTGGGGTGCACCACTCCCTGCAAAGGGTTGAGACCAGTACCTGGTGAGATCATCTGCACTGGGAAGCCTGGGTTCTCCGTGGGCAAAGGGGCAGGCGAGGGAGAGGTCGCCAGATCCAGTGACGCAGCCCCAGCTAGGGGCCTGCAGGGTTGTGGCCACGCTGCAGTACTTGGGTAAAGGCATTGCAGGCAGCAGGAGGATTGTGTGGCCTTCGGAGAAAAAAACCACCTGGAACAAGCACCATCGTTACCTGAGTTCACTCACAGCCCAGCAGACAGAGCCCAGGGAGGCCGCCTCGGGACAGCTGTGGCCTGCACCGCCCCCACCTGCACCACAGACACCAGGCTCCCTCTTGGATCTTCTGCCTTGGGAACCTCTGCTCAGGAAGCAGGGCAGGAGTGGGAAGAGCAGGAGCAGTGATTTTAGAGAAATCCCACTGTAAAATCCTTCTTCACAGTCTCATGGTTGGGCATTTGACTTCTGTGCCTCAGCTGCAGCTCTCAGGAGGTCACTCCTATGTATTAGTAGCTCAAGATTCCCCAGTATTTTCCTCTTTCTTCCTTTCTAGGGGCAGGGACTTCTGGGGGAAAAGCCCCACCCTTCCCTTCACAAGTTGCTACCCCATGACAAAGCAGTCTCCCCACCTACAAGACTAACTGTGGCCCAGGCTGAGCTGAAACTTCAGGGCCACTGCGTCCAACAACTTGCTCAGAGGTGACAGACACCGCCTGGCACTATATTCAAACTTGGTTTCCCCAGCCCATCAACTTCCTTTAGGCTCTGCCCTGCCAGGCCCACAGGACTGACCTCAAAGAGACTCACCCTCTTCAGGAGCCTGAAGCAGACTCCTCACCTCAGCTTCTGTCCCTTTCTGACAGAGCTCAGGGCTTCAGCCCAACTGACTCCTTGTTGCTAAGCAGGTCGCCATGGATGCAAGCAGGCAAGAAACACTGTGGGCCACTAGGGACACTGAGCATGTGCAGAAGGGTGTCAGGAGGCCTTGGGAGACAGGAGCACAGGAAAGACAAGTAGTTTCTCCATCACTGTATTTTATTTTATTTTTTGGTGGTGGTGTGCAGAAGGCTGGTGTAGCCTCAGTTCCTAAAAGCTACAGTTTCCCTGCTGCTAGCAGAGTCAGTCACTGGAGGAAGGAAGCCTCATAGATCTCAAGGAAGACCTGTGGGGAAGGGAGCAGGGCGGGTGACTTCCACCCTGAGTAGGCACAGGCCAGCTGGGAAGAGGAGAGTCATGCAGGCCTGGGGACTCTCAGAGAATCTGCCCACAGTTTAAAACAAAATAATCAAAGGTGTGAGCAAGTTTGTCTGAAGCAGACTGGACTCTGCTGAGGAGCAGAGAGATGGTGACCACTAGGAGGGCAGGAGTAGACAGTGTGACCAAAGAAACAGAAGTGTGGATTCTGCTGTGATTTGAACACCCATAAAAGTGGTATTTTAAGGATCTGACAATCACTGTGCACTGATTTTGTGTCTGCCACTGTGTTCACTGGAGAACACCAGAAAGGTAGGCAGGGACATTTGTGAGTGTCTCCCTGACATCCCTTCCCCTCTTCCGCCAGAGAGGCTGACTGTACCTCCAGGTCTAGGGGGGGAATGTGTGTGAGTCGGGGGTTCCTTGTGCATTCTGTGTTTCTCAGCCTCTCCAGTCAAAATCAACCTGAGGCTTTTTCTGGGAACATAGGGTTATAGACTTTCTCTTGCTTCCCAAGCATAAATAAGAAGGCATATACTTCAGAGAGACTTTGATAGCCTTTTGAGGACACTGAAACTATTTCTGGAGAAAGAAAAGATAGACCTAAAGAAAACAGGCTTAGGGACAACAGATTGTTAGTAACAGCAGGGAGTCCCCAGTTACAGGAGGCAATATGTTTCATTCATTGGTCATGCAAGCTTGGGTTGTGTTTTTCTTTCAGTTGAAAATATCTTAGGTGCTGACTTGCCTCACAGAGCATGACTTTGTAGTCAGCAGAGTAATGATGGCTCAGGCCCGTACACCTTAAGGGATTAGTTATGTGACATACAAACTCAAAATCTAAGAAGGAGTAAGGAAGTCTGGGTGTGAGAGAGTGATTCCTGAATATGGCAGTGAGATTTCAATGGTGGGAGGGAAAAGAATGCTCTCCTAGGTAGAAAGCAAGAGCAAAGAGAGAAGGATGCATTTGTAAGACTGATTTTCTTTGGGGGAGCAGATTTGGTGTACTGAGAAAAGCAAGGCATGGCTATTTGGGAAGGGAACATATTGTAGGGTGCTTTGAGAAGTGAGAAGATAAATTTAAACAACATGGTAGTCAAAAGGAGGTCATCAGGCAGTTTGATAGACACAGATGAAATGCTTTAAGAGAAGAACATCAGGACAAAAGTGGAACCAGTGGAAACCAGAGCTCAAGAAGCCAGAGGAGACAGTTAACAGTGACCCAGACCCAAGGTGACAGGATTGGAATAGGAAAATAGTAACAACAGGTATTTACTGGCACCTACCTGAGTTGAGGCTTTTTGCAGGATACAAGGAATATAGGATGAATAAGACTCTATCTGTCTTCAAGGAGCTTACAGTCTATGAAAAGACAGAGCCAGGTGTGCAAAGCATGTAAGGACAGCAGGAGGGGAACTGGAGGAAAAATACACATATTAAATAAAGGTTCAAGTAATGGTTGAGATCAGAAGTTGGGAAACATTTCACAGAAACAGAACAGTGAAGATGAGTGTGACAGACAGAGCCAGGGAAGTCCTGGCTGGGCTCGGTGACAGATGGGAGCTAGGAGCTAAGGATCAAGAAGACCTGAAGTGAGTAGAAACAGAGCACTGGTGAGGGCAGATTCTCCTTCCCGGGGTGAGGAAAGGTCCGGATGCTGAAAGCTTGCTGGCCTGGAGGACTGAAAGGATGTGATACTACGGACAATACAAAATAAAGATAACTGCAAATGTGATGGTTAGAAATGGTCATGAGTGCTGGGCATAGTGGCACATACCTATAATCCCAGTATAATCTCAGCGGGAGGGAGGCTGAGGCAGGAGGATCACCATGAGTTCAAAGGCCAGCCTGGGCTACAAAATGAGTTCAAGGCCAGCCTAAACTGCATAGTGAAACCTTGTCTCAAAAAAAAAAAAAAAATGGTCATGAATTCTTATTAGGTGTCAGGCACAGTTAATACTCATTTGGTGAGTTGTTTTTCTTATTTTGTGGATGAAGAGCCAGGACCAAGAAAGAAGGAGGTACAGCGAAATTTCAGACAGATGGCATCTGCAGACTGCATTCCGGAGTCCTGAACTTAGCAGACTAAGTCTGGATGCAGAAAAAGATGAGCCTGAAGTAATTTCAAACAACAACAGAGTTTTGTGAATTGCGTTTGCTAAGACGCTTTCTCATTACGGTTTTTCTTCAACTCTAATTTTGACAAATCAAATTCACTGAGGTTCACTGTGATTACTTAGTAAGAAATAGATACAGAGTATGTGAGAAGCATCATGTAGTCATTTGTCAGACTTTTCACGCTTTTGAAGCTTCTCACACCTGGAACTCTGGCCAAGTGTGTGAGCAGGACAGTATGACCGGCCCAGGAAACTCTGGGGACTCCTGCCCCCTAGAGCTCTGGAAAGGAATGAGCAATGACTGTTGGGTTCTATTAAGAATTTTAGTATGTCTGAAAGCCAGGTGAGGACTATCCGGTATAGTTCGGTGCTGGAGCTGTTATTTACCTACACAGGAATTATTTAGGAAAAATAATGAGCGAGGCTGCAAGGGATCCCATTGTGTGAGATTACTTCTTTTGTGGGAACTGCTGACTCAAACAATTCTGAAAATAGGGTCAGCGTGGCGGCTGGAGGCTGCCACCAGGCAAGAGCCATTGGCGGGGTTATTCTTGGTCTCAGCTTTATCAGGATACAGAAGGGACTGCAGGTAGTTGATGTATCTGATCGCAGCTCGGAGAGTTTCCACTTTGCTGAGTCGCTTCTCCAGATACTCCTCGGGCAGATGATGTCGGAGCTGGGCGTAGCCTTCGTTGACACACTTCACGCGCTGCCTTTCCCGCTCGTTCCTCTTCCTGATGAAGGCCGGCCCGTAGGAGTAGGAGTACTCGCACCTCCTGTAGCCCGGGAGAGGCATCGGGAAAGGGAACGGGCAGGGCTCACCGTAGTTCTCCACCATCAGAGGGTCGCTGGGAAACGGCAGCAGCGGCAGCTCTTCCTGGTAAGGGGACGGCAGCTGGGCCTCGGGGTACAGGTGGAAAGTGACCATGGGGTCCAGGTAGAAGGACCTGGCTAGCGGCAAGTGGGCAGAATCAGAGAAGACAGGGAATGTATCTGGTGGACTAGAGTGGCTTCTACTGTCCATTTCCTCGTTAACCTAGAAATACAACCAAGTTGTTAATTCGGCCAGTCAAGAGAGCAGGTATAATCTACTGTCTCAGCATTTTAAACACTTAATGCTTTGATGACTCGCGCCTGAGTTTATTTTGAAAATAGAGTGGGTTACATATAACTGCCCGAGTGTAGAAAAAGGAATTTTTAGGTAGATTTCAGTCTTGGCTTTACCTGTTCTTTGCTCTGTGTAGTTAGGCAAGTTTCTTAACCTCTACAGGCCTTGGCTGTTTTCTATGTCCATGTGAGATGTCAACTATTCTTCAGGGTGGCTGTGAAGAGTAAATAAAAAAAAAATACACACAATGCATCAAGCAAAAGGGTTATTTTCCTCTTTCCTTTCTTCCCAGATGGATACTTGTGTAGTAGCATCCCTTTCTCTACATCTGATGGAAAACCTGGCTCTATTTTTCCTAACCCTGGAGTATCAAGATATTCATCAATTTGTTGAGATCTGAAGAACATACCTAAAAGAGAAAAGGGAAAGCAATTTGAAGTCTAATTGTGGATCACCATAAAGACAAGACATGCAGGTTTCTATTAATTTCTCAAGATTTTTTTCCTTAATATCTGTAGGAATGAGGGCTTCTTCTCTTAAATATAGTAGCATTCAATGACAAAGAGGCAAAACAAATCCTCCCCAGGCAGTCTGAATTTATGGGTGAGATTAGGTAATGGTGGACCTGGTTTCTCTGTCTGAGGACAGCAAGAACTTAGCAGGTTCTGCTCTATCTTGGGAGGTGTGGACATCAACACCAGAATTCAACTGTGTTCCAATTCCTGTGAAAAATCCAGAGTGTGGTTGCTGGAAAGACAAAAAATTTTGAAACAGAAAAGACTGCAGGGGGTGCGGGATACGGGTGAGGAGTGGGGACAGTTATGAGTCATCGGGAGGAGACAGGCTGGAAGAGGAGTCAGTGCCAGGAAAAGCGCTCCCTACCAAGGGGCAGGGGAGGGAGAGATAAGTGGAACAGAACTAATTAGAAATCAAAAGCGGGGATCAGGAAACGAAAGATTCCAAACTGCTGACCACATGACCTGAAATAACTAACATAAAACAAAATTTCTAGGAGATTAAAACTAGCCAAGTTTCTGTCAAAAGGAAAAGCTGCTGAGAGAAGCTAGTTAGGAAATTCCCAAACCAGGAATTCCAAAGGATAAGAGATAAGGAACTGTATATCACGGCGGACAAAGGATGGCAGATGGATGTAAAACCTGCACTGTGCATTTTTAATAACAGCTTTATTTTTGCCTACAGCTAACAGGTCAGAAGTCATTAACAACAGGTTCCCCCCAAATAAAGCAGATGTCATAAAGCCAACAATGCAAAATGATATTTGGGGATGTAGTTTTAGCCTGAAACATAATTTTAATAATATTGTAAATGATGACCCAGATGAAATCTGAGTAATTTGTATATGCCACAAGAAATTAAGTTTCTAGGTTTTAACAAGATTGCATACTTTTTGGTAAAAGAGCACAGTGTCTCCTGAGACGATGAGGAGTAACTTCTGTTCTTAAGGCTTTCCAGTAAGTTCACCAATCAATGTAGTAGCATTTAAAGATGATAATCTTTTATTTATTCAAAGAAGAAAAATGCAAAACAACAGAGCAGGAGAGTAGAAAATATGGCAACAATGAAGATAAGATAGGAAGCCTTATGAAGTCTAGATGTGTGTGTTTGTTAGGAATTGAGTACAATTTTATTTTAAAAGAAAGCAACATGTATTGTTAGTTCTGGGTCTTCGTGGCACTAGATATATGCACAACTAACACATGCACCTTGGGAAGAGCTTAGGTTTCTGTCTCAGAGCACTTCTGGCACATAAATAGAGGTTGTAATAATAAAATCCTAAGAGGTTCTTAATACTCTATTGAGCATAAAAGCATCTACTTCCATACATTAAAAAATTTATGCAGAATGTCAAAACCAAAAAGCTTCCACTGCATATACCTGAATTATGGAATGTTTAGAGGTAGGAGAAAGCTTAAGGTTGCTAAGTGAGTAGCAGAGCAGAGGCCAGAACCTGGGGTCCTGAACTTCCAAACCAAAATGCTTTCCATTCATCCAAGTGATTTCATTACTAATAAAATCTGGATCTTTCATTATAGTATAATAATTGATTCTTAAGGTAATGAAACAGTCAGATTATTGACAGTTGGCCCTTTATCACTGTGCCTAAGGATTTTCTTAAAAATCATGTTTTTATTCCTCCCCCTTGACCATTTCTGAGAAGTGTCTCTTACCTGAGTTTTGTCATCCAAGATGTTGTATTTTGGGCTGAGTCAGACTTACTCTGATTTATAGTAGTCATTTAGTGACAATATGCAAAGTAGCTTACAGTTAAACAGAACTGCTTGGTTCTGGTTTAGCTGTTTTTTCCCTAGCTAATATGTAGATATGACAACATACAATATTAAAGAGGAAGGGTTGCTTACATAATTGGACACTTGCAAAACACATTTTTGTTTAAAAGGTGTCCCCCATTCATCTGGATTAAATGATTTTGCAAAAGAAGTATTTATGGAAAATATTTTTACGTAGTAGTCTCACAATGTGCAAATATTGGTCAATGTTCTTTTAGAAAGATATTTAAACCGGAATGAGGAAGGTCAATATGAATTTATAATATCCATTTTTTTTCCTCCTAAGTAGACTTTATTTTTAAGGTAGTTTCAGGTTCATAGCAAACTTGAGCAGAAAGAGTCCTTGCACAGGCCTCTCCGCTATTAGCATCCTGCTCCATAGTAGTAACTTTGCAGTAATCGATGGACCTGTAATTGATGACACAGCATCATTACCCAAAGTCCACAGTTTCCATTAGGCTTCATTCTTAGTGTTGTACACTTACACTCTATGAGTTTGGACAAATGTATAATGGCCTATGTCCATTGATAGTGTATCATATATTTACAGCAGTTTTAAGGCTGTAAATATTCTCTGCACTACCTGTTCATGTCTCCCTCCCCGTAACCTCTACAACCACTGCTCATTACTGTCTCTCTGGTTTTGCCTTTTCCAGAATATCATATAAATAGAATCATTTAGTGTGCAACCTTTTCATATAGGGCTCTTTTACTTAGTAATAAACATTGAAAGTTCTTCCATGTCTTTTCATGGCTTGAAAACTCATTTATTTTTAATACTGAATAGTGTTCCCTTGTGTGGATGCATCACAGTTTATCTACCTACTAAAAGGCATTTTGGTTGTTTTCAAATTTGGGCAATTATGAATAAAGCTACTATTAACATCCATGTATAGGTTTTTGTGTGGCCATAAGATTTTAGCTCATTTGGGTAATTACCGATGAACACAATTGCTGAATCCTGGTTGTGTAACAATCTGCTGAACTCTTTTTCCAAAGTTGTATTATTTTGCATTCCCACCATCACTAAATAAGAGTTCTTGTTGCTCTGTCTCTAACCATTTGGAATTGTCAGTATTCTAGATTTTGGCCATTTTAGGGGTGCAGTCTCATCTCACTGTTCAATTTGCATTGCCCTGTGACATATGATATGGAAGGGTCATTTTAAAATATGGTTTCTTGCTAACTTTTCTCTGGTGAGATCTCCATTCAAGACTTTTGCCCATTTTTTACACTGGATTTTTTGGTTTGTTTTCTTATTGTCAAATATTAAATGTCCTTTATCAGGTATATCTTTTGCAAATATTTTTTTCCTGCTCTATTTTTCTAATTCTCTTGGCAGCATCTTTTTGGAGAAATTTTAACTTTTAATAAAAGTCCAGCTTGACAAGTCTTTCTTTCTAGGACCATGTTTTTGGTGTTATATCTAAAGTCAATATCACCTAAATTTTCACCAGTAGTATCTTCTAGAAGTTTTATAGTTCATTTTATATGTAGGCTTGTAATCTATTTTGTTATTTTTCATGAAAGTTCTAAGGTCTGTTGTCTAGATATTTATTTTTTGCCTGTGAATATTCAGTTCTTTATGCCAGCACTGTTGTTAAAGATGATTTTATATCAGAGATATAGTTCAGTGATAGTGTTTTCCAAGTATGCACAAGGTTCTGGGTTGATCCTCGGTACCACAAAACAAGAAAAAAAAGAAGAGACTTATTATGATTTATATCTAAAATGTCCCCTCAAAGTCTCCTATGTTCAGAGGCAGGGCTTTGGATTGGGTCATGGAAATGCTATATTCAGTTCACAGCTGCATGTGCTTTTTAGGGGGTGGGGTCTGGTACAAAGGTCTTTATCTGGGTGTATTCTTTTTCCAAGCTCCTGCTCTCTCATTCTCTCATTCCTGTCCCCCTTCCTTTGAATTCAACACTTTTCTTCTCCCACGGCCTCCTACCATCCATTTCTGCCTTGAAGTGAGCTGACTTTGGGCTGAATCCACTGGAAACCATGAGCCAAATAAAGCTATCCCATTTAAGTGGAGAGTGTTACTTTGTCCCAGTGACAGGAAAGTGACTAATACAATTACCCTTTCTCCACTAGATCGCTTTTTGCTCCTTTGTCGAAGATCAACTGGCTATTTATGGCAGAGTATTTCTGGACTCCCCATGCTGTTACACTGCATCGGTACCAGTCTTCATACTGTACTTCATAGTAAATTTTGAAGTTGATAGCATCAGTCCTCTGACTTTGTGGTTAATTTATGTTGGCTACTTTGGGTCTTTTACATTTCGATATAAACTTTAGAATTAGTTTGGACTATCTCATTCATTCATTTCTTATTATCAGTTTTCTATTTTTTCCTATATTTTATAAATATTTTGCTAAATTTATACTTAAAATTTCATCTTTGAGATACTGTTAGGAATAGTGTTGTTTTTAATCTCAAATTCCACTTCTTTATTGCTTGTTTATGGGAAAGCAATTAACTCTATGTGTCAGTTGCTATAATCACGTATTTCAGGTACTTTTGTTCTTTTGGGTTTTCTAAATAGGTGATGTATCACCTGTGAGAAAGAGGAAGTTTTATTTCTTCCCTCCCAATCTGTAAAC